GTATCATTTCATGGTTGCAATTTTCTTTTATAGACCTCTGCAAATGTCTTACAAGATGTGATAAGAGATTTAGAAGAGGAAGAGCAGAGCATAAGGTTCATTGTTAATAGCTCATTTTGGTTTCTGATCACTGCATTTTTTAGCAATTCCTTCTCACTCTGTTGCAAGTATAGAAATTGTTTGTTGACATGGTTTTTTATTAGATTCCAAAGGAAGCCCACTTTCTCATAACAATGTAATATCATGCTTCTTTTTTTTCTTAAAGTGGAACAATATTTAATTCTAAGATACTTGTGTACACTGGRGATGTATCCTTGTTGAGATGGCAAAAAATTCTATCTATAAAACTCCACAATCACTAGTTATGGTGTATATATTAAACCTTAACTGATACTTTAAGCTTCCAAACAGGCTTTTCACACAATGGAGCTTTAGGTGTATCAACCAATCAGCTGCCAGAATGCAGGAGTTTACTACCAATGAACCTATAAATGTTGTTGTATGTATAAATAAAATATATTGCTATATTGTAGTTTCCTTTAACAGTGGCAAAAGGGTTGCAGTTTTCTTCTTTATGTTTACAGGTTATGGAAGCTCTCAACCTGTTATTAAAGCTAGGAGAATATCTTGCAAAACTACCAAAGGTATAAGTCACTATATTAAAAGCCAATATAGGCTAGATGTGGCATTTTTACCACATTTGTGTTTTTCAAACATCCATATACCTAATTGCAAAAATTTTAACATAGTAAATAGAATATTTGTACTTCATTAAAAAGGAATGAAAAGTGCAAAAGAAAATAACTTAGGCCACTAAATACAAATGTTTTATTCATCTACAGCAACATTATTTGCAATAGATTTATTTTTTGAAGTGTCTGTCTCTTGGTAATCAGTCGCCTGTATTTTACAATAAATAATGTGTCATAATTTTCAGTTAAGTCTCAGCAAAACAATGGATCAACTTCCTGAAAAATGTCCTGAGCTTCTTGTTAGACAAGGTTGGTTTAAGATGTCTTAGCAGACTGTATAGCAACAATGTCATTCCACTGGAACAAGGTGATGTCATTCGATCTATATTCTTTCCAGTTTATTTTCTTCGATTTTTCTTTTACAGATTTACTTGAATATCTCATAAATTCAAAAGAACTTAGCACTCCATCACAATACTTGCAAAGATACACAAGACCACTAAATGTCACTTTAGAAAGTGGTATGGAATTATTTTCTGTATTCCCATTCCCATTTTTTCTCTTCCATTCACATTGTCTCTTTCTTTCAGAGTTGGTGTGGCCTTTACAGACAAAGCTTGTTCCTTTGAACTAGTGAAAAAAATGCTAATTGTAAATAATTTTACTATAATTCAACATGTAGATGACAGAGCATATATACACAATGTTGATTTTTCCTTGTAATTTAAGTGTTGTTATGTTACAAATAATCAAAAAAAAACTTTTTACAGTTTATCAAATAAATGAAGAATTTTAATTAAAATTACCTTTAAGTCTCTACTTTGTATTAAATCTCCTTTTCGTTTACTCTTGACTCTTGTTAGGCATTTGCAGAGCTAAAATAATACGTTTGAAGAACAAAACAATAAAAAATTGTTGAGGTTTGGGCTTCCTGTGTTTTGTAGAATGCTATTCAAAATGAAGATAAAAAATGATAAATAGACCAGTAGTGGAAAATACGTTAAAGTCTTTTGGGTGGTTTTCTTCCTTTTGATTTGAGAAAACTCCATATTATTTTCATAACTTTGTGCGCACTGAAGGTGTTGTGCGTTCATTAGCCAGCGGTGTTCTGGTCAGCGGAAGTACATTTTCATATCCGGGACATTAACTTAGATTCTTCCCTTTTCCCTGTGGCTTTTGGTGAGTAATGGCGATCCTTACATCTAGTTCAATCCACTCCAATCTTACCATCTAGAATGTCTTTTGATAAAATATTATAGATATACAATACGCTAGAAAGACCGAAGAAAGCTTCTGATGTGTTATTTTTTTTAATCTCACAAAATTTGTCAAATTATAAGTCTTTGAAGTGTGTTGTTGCGAATCGTGATGTTCTGGTGTGAATTCACGAAATAAAGTTAAAGAATTGTATTATTATTGTTTTTTAATACCGAACGCTTATCAGTACAAACCACTATTCATATGATCTCTTATAAAGAGCTGAAAGGAAGGATTTGCTGAGTTTTATTGATACATGATGATAAATGGATGTATTCATGACTGGGTTTTGAAAGTTGTGTTGTTCCATTTCAAACACGTTTATATCTTTCCTAACAGTATATCTTTTAATTTTCAGGCAATCATGGGGCGTCGACCTGCCCGATGGTATGTTGATTAAATCTGTTACTGTTACTTCATCATGTTCATGACTGCTCACTGCTGTGTTGAGTCATGGTGACAGTGCAGTATGTACGTGTAAAAATGTGTGTTGTTATGTTTCATCTAACGTTTTTATAGTCATTTTTGGGAGTAATAGTAAACATCATTATCAATGGAGTTGAATAAGTCTCAATAGAGTTAGATAATTTTGGTCTGTTTTTCCTAATAGTTATCGGTACTGCAAGAACAAGCCTTATCCCAAGTCACGTTTCTGCCGTGGTGTCCCTGGTAAGTCTTTGTTGCCATGCAAAGGTTATCATGTAGATGTTTCAACCAAAATGGTTAAGTATTAAYATAGATATTTTTATTAACAGATTCTAAAATCAGGATTTATGATCTTGGACGTAAGAAAGCCATGGTAGATGACTTTCCTCTGTGTGTTCACATGGTGTCAGATGAGTATGAACAGCTGTCTAGTGAAGCCCTTGAAGCTGCCCGTATCTGTTGTAACAAATATATGGTAAAAAGCTGTGGTAAAGATGCCTTCCATATCCGTGTCAGACTTCATCCCTTCCACATTGTAAGAATCAACAAGATGTTGTCATGTGCTGGAGCTGATAGGTTAGTAGTATGTAAAACATACAATATATAAAGTTCTACACTTAACAATTGTGTATGGAAATATGAGATGAAACAATAATCAGTTGCTATTGCAATCAGGCTCCAAACTGGTATGCGTGGTGCTTTTGGTAAACCACAGGGTACAGTAGCCCGTGTACGTATTGGCCAAGCCATCATGTCTGTGAGAACTAAAGACTCAAACAAGGCCCATGCTATTGAGGCACTCAGGAGAGCCAAGTTTAAGTTCCCTGGACGTCAAAAGGTATCTTTTGTAGTCATATTTCAAAATGTGTGCATACCTAATGGCATCATCTCAAGGTGCAARATGATATGTAATGTTGTCTTGTCAATTATATTACACATGCAACTATCTTCTCTCGCTTACCTTATCTTTTTTTTTTTTCAATTCTAAATTTAAAGTTTTATTTTCTGCTTAGAGTAGACATGAAAGCTCTATATAAGCCTTCATATTATTGTCAATCCAGTAATATAATTACGGATTATTTTAAATATTATAAATTCAATGAGATTAAACCATTCACATGTGTATTGTCAACTTTTATTTTGTTGCAATATTATGTATATTCCAATGGTCAACTGTTCTTGCTTCAGCTCTATGTTTCACATAAATGGGGATTCACCAAGTTCGACAGAGAGCTCTATGAAGAGTGGAGGGCAGAAGGCAGACTTCTTCCATGCGGAGTACATGCTTCCTATATCAGAGAGCACGGGCCTCTGAAAGACTGGAAGCAAAGAAATGCATAAAAATCTGTAATGACCAACCATGTGAAAATAAAATAATAAACCAAGTATCTTGTATTCTTCTGTATTGAGCAAAGAAATATTTAAAATACAGTTGATTTTTTACTTGCAATTGCACACAGTAAGCTTTATACCAGTTCCAATATTCACTATGTACTGCTGTTACATGATTGGTTTGTTTGGAACTGTAGATGGTGACCAACTTAATCAGAATTGCAGAACTGGTCTGARTTGCTATGATTTTGCATGAGGCTATATGAAAGTAAGCTGACCAATTGCAGGTGGAGAAAAAAAAAAGCAGCCTTTTCTCAATTATTTTAGTGCTTATAGTGATTGATGACTACAACGTGAACAACCAACCTCCTGCACTTGAGGCCAATGCTCTAATTATATATTTATACTTCAGTAGTTTTCTTAAAGTGCACATGACACCATTAGAAATGCATTCTCGTCCAGAAGAGAAAATGATGCTAAGTACATCTGTGAAGAAAGAAATTGATTTCAAATTGTATTTTCCAAGTTATCGGCAATTGAAACTTAGAAAATGTAAATGAAGTCACGTATCACTAGGCATGAATTTTTGTTACATTGGGAAAAAAGCATTTTCAGCTCTCAATATTATTACTATGATTGATGATTTGAGCTCTTCAATCAAGAAGGTATTTCCCTTAAACCTGTCAATTGAAGCATACACTTGAAATTTATAACACTTGATTATCACAATTATAACCAATTCAAGTTTTGATCAAATTTATTACACAACCAAAGTACAATCTTTATTACAACCAAACATGCTTGTTGAAATTTAAAGATTTACAAACGAATCTTGTAGAAGATCCTTCCAACTTGCAAATCATCTTGTTTAACAACAAAGTCAACCTGAAATCGATAACATAATGAYGATTTAAGTCACTCGCAGCCATTACCAGTGTTATGCCATGTGCTGTGACATAACATCAGCATGAATAAATTGAAATGACATTTTAATTTATGCTTGTACAATTTAGAAAATAAAGAAAAACTAAAAGAACCATATAGAGTGCTTACAGTATAACCATGAAATAAAATCTACATAGTTACTAACAAAGAGTCTTTATTTAGTGACTATTAGTCATGATCATTCAACTCTTTGTTTTCAAGTTACGTCACAGCGACCATCTTGGAGGAACTTCAACAAAGGATTTCTCATTAGGATCTATTRTTCATTCCTCCGACATGGCCGCTGGCCTTTAATCTTTTCAATCTCATGCGAATGGTTGACAACGATCAACTGGAACAGGAAGTGTACACTTGAGAATCAAATACAAAGGAAAGAATACCTCATTATAACTGTTCCAGTTGAGTGACAGCAACTAATAGTCACYAAATAAGAACTTTTAGATACCGTAGTAACTATTCTTCATTTTYAAGCTACGTCACAGCAGCCATCTTGGAGGAAATTTTACAAAGGATTTCTCATAAGCAAGCATCTATTGTTCGGTCCTCCAACATGGCCGCCGGTCTTTTATCTTTTGAATCTCATGGGAATGGTTGAAAACGATCAATTTARATTTTATTTCATGGACATAGTGTAAGAACTCTACATCTTTCACATAGGAAAATACAGTAGAAATGAACTAAATAGAACATGGATTGCTACAGCAAGTTTCCTTTACCCATATTATCCTAGTGAACTTCTAGAGACTTTTTCAGAAATTCTACAGCATCTGTTATGGTCATTATCTTCTCTGCTTCCTCATCTGAAATCTCAACAGCTGAAAAGTGTACAAAGAGACACAATTTTATAACTCTTTTAGACCTCTGATTCACATCAATTTGTAAATCTACTAACCAAATTCATCTTCAAATGCCATCACAATCTCAACAACATCTAAGCTGTCTAAACCAAGATCATTGATAAAATGGCTTTCCACTGTTACCTGTACAAAAGATATTAGGACATTTCAATATAAGTTCACATCTAAAAGTAAATAATTAATTTGAAACCATAACCTATTTCAGGAAAGGGGAGAGCTTGAGTAACTGCTTATAGATGGGTATGTGGTCAAAATGAATACAAAAACTCCTTTGGAAACATAGGCTTGCAGATCATTTTATTAATGTAGGTATGGAGGGTATAGGGCAATGTTTCTCTGTACCTGGAATCTGGAAAAATAATGGAATGGGCCCTATCAGTACGTGCATGGAACATGATATTTCCAGACACATACACAAAAATGACAGATAAGTTACTAACCAGCTCAGCATTTACTTTATCGAATAGTTTAACTACGTTTAACACTCGATCTTGTAGTTCACCAATGGACATCCCCGCACTTGCAAAGTAGCGAACAGTAACTGGTGATAACTGGCTTGTCATTAACAAGTTATTGCTTAGAAATGGCTGCTGTGAATATTTATTAGCAGCAAAAATAATACGGGGCGTTGAAGACACTGAACGTGTAGCTTGTCTCCTCAAAAATGCTGCTGTGAAAGCAGTTCTTGTACACCTTTTCAACATGTGCGACGCCATTTTGGAAAGTATATGTTCATCACATGCACAAGGCATCATGGGAGGGATTTACAAGATCTTTCGCTTGATTGGATGATGTAAACTGTATATAAAATTCATTTTCATCCACTTCAAAGAAGACTTTCATCCAAATATGGTTCTAATAATCACCACTGAGTATTGATCTGTATTATTTTAAACTCACCAGAGAGCTTTGGAGAAATGAATTGAWGTTCATTGAAATGTGCTGYTTTGTCGGGCTTCCTTTGTTGACATATTACACTTACCCCTCCCCTAAAAGTACGAAGTTTCACACATTATGCAACTTTTGTACAAGATGGCGTCCCGGTCAGCGTGGATCGCCCGGCGTTTCGCGAAATCTAACCTCCACGGCAAACAAAAGGTTTTAAGAAGTTGTTCATATGTACCTGCATTTCGTGGAGAAGTGAAATCACAAGGAGATGTTAGAAAAAACGAGCATGCTCTCCAGATTCTCCATCTGAACTGTTCAGGTTCTGACGACAGATCTTGGACTGGTATTGGATCTGAGACGTTTTTCAAATCATACAAAAAAATTTATCCACATCACAAAATCAAAGAGATTAATTTATGGGACAAAGATTTACTAAAGTATAATCTTTCTCACGTTGCTAGTAAAATGAGGATGGTTTCTGGGGAAGAACAAGCAGGCGACAAAGAAAATCTCACTGCCGTTGAAGATATGATCACAACGCTATATTCTGCTGATAAATTAGTGATTTCAAGYCCAATGTGGAACTACGGTGTCCCGTACGTCTTGAAACAGTACATTGATTGCATTGTTCAACCTGGTTTGACATTTCAAGAAACCCAAAATGGCCCCAGGGGACTAGTGACGGGCAGGCCATTGTTATTAATTACATCATCAGGTGGAGACTACACCAAGCCTGGCATGGTTCATTTGGACTTTCAAGTTCCTTATCTAAAGGTTATATTTGCACTGATAGGTTTTACCAATGTGCGCCATATTTATATCAAGAACACTTCACATGACAAAAGAGAACATTTATTACAACTTATTTATAAGTCAGTATCTCATGAAGTGAAGCAGTTTTAAATCAAATCATTATTATATCTGCATTTTTTATATTTAGTTTTATTTTCCTTATTGTCTAATAAGAACTACTAGCCAGAAATGTTAACTTTTGATGGATCAAATGGTGTTCCTGCAAATGGAGAACCCTTTGCATCCCAAGCCTGTTTCAGCAAATCATGAGTTTTCTGCAAAAACAAAGAAGAGCATGTACAATGAAAGAGTTCTTTAACAAACAGAAATAAGTCAGGTTACAGCAGCAAATTTTATAAAGAAAAATAAATGGTGATGTAGAGATGAATGGGAATGAATAAAAAAATAAGATACCTGTTCTTTACTAGTTGGTTTTCCCATCATCTTTTGTTGGTGATCGTACATAACTTGCTGAAAGTCTGTTTGAGTTTGCTCATCAAAATCATCAATTGCTCTTGTGCTGTCAACCTTTGTTTTGTCAATCTCAGGGTCCCCTTCACATATAGCTGTCCAGAACCTTTCCTCTGCCTTTTCAAGGTTTATTTGAATAGTTTTCCCAGGTTCTAATGACCACATGGATTCCTCACACTTCACACATCGCTGAAGTTTCCCATCCACAAGTACATTACTACCAGTTTTGAGCTCTGAATGACAAAACAATGAATAGAAATCAKTTTCAGTTTTTTCTGGCCATTTTATCCAGCAGCTGATAGAGTAAGAAAACCTGGACATGGGATATGTACCTTCTACAGGTATGTTTCCTTTTAATGACACCTTTAAAGAAGACATCTTTATTTCAACTGCTACGTCTCTTGCTCTTAGGATGCATTTTGGTACAGGTATCTTTAGGTCAATATCTTTGATTGTCTGTGACCATGTATACTTGTCCAATACAGCACCATTGTAGCAGTCTGGTAACTTTCCAGGTTCAAGAAATTTAGACTCTTCATTCGAACTGTTGTAATTGAAATATCAATGAATTGTTTGAACAGTTGTTATGACCGTTAAGTGACACATTACTTCAGTCTTTGTCCAATTACTTGCCTTTGTGTAGATGTACTTGCAGCTGTTGGCTCATCTGAGGTTTTTTGATCTGGTAAATCATTTGTAGAGTGCTTGAAATCATCTATGGTTTGCTCTGTTGTATTTTGACTTGTATCAGTTGATGAGACCTCAACAGTTGAGGCAACAACATCAGGTACTGTTGTTGGAGTGTTATTCATTTCTTCTGATGAAGTGACCTTTGGATTGATTACATGTAACATTAATTTTGATACTGACGTTCAAATAATCAGCAGTAACATTTGCATACCTCTGCACTACTTTGTGAAATGCTGTTGGGATGTGGCTTGCATGTTTCAGTAATCTCTTTTTCCTTGTTGGCCATTTTCCTAGTTGATTTAGTCTCCTTTTCTTTGTTCATACTACCCAAAACAACTCTCTGATACTTTCTGAAAATCTTAAAAGGAAGATGTTTGAAAATTCACTCTTTTCAGTGAAAAGCTCTGTAAAAAGTCTTGTACATTTACCTTCAGTACCATTTGCTCTGCAATACCATCAGGAAAACCCATTTTATCTTGTTTGCTGTTCATAATAACATAAAAGTCTGTTCGTCTAGCCAAAAAGGAAAAGACAACATCGAGAAAGGGCTCAATTTGGCCACAGTTTTGGAGAATTCCAAGAAAGATATTGTCAAGTTGACTGAGGTCCATTTTTGGTACGTACTAGTAAAAATTCAGTTTCTTTAAAAGCTCTATACACTTGAATTATCTTTCAGGGACAGATCTTTTCAAAAGGATCTCAATATTTCAAGAAAAATGATACAAACGTCAWTGAACTGTTTACAAAGTAATCGCTAGTCTAGTGAGTAGTACTAGACTCGTTCCTATGTCAAAAGTTATCACCAGTCTTATTTACCGTTTGAGCCTTCATAATTCGGGTCAGCGTTTAACAATATAACAAAGATGGCGGAGGTAAGTRTCTTTCCTGTTCTCTTGTGTTGTTTGTTTTCTTCGATTCCAAAGACTAATAATAAGATGTGTTTTAACGCAGAATTCCTTGGATGCAACAGAAGATGTTGCTTTAAATTTTGGTGACGAGGAAGACGCTATGAGAGGGAAAAAATTTCGGTAAAAGTGTTTTGTATTGATGTGACGTTGTACTTAGCTTACTTTAATAAGCTTAAACTTTAATTTGTTGAACTCATGATTTATCATGATAGTAAAATTCTTTTAAATTTCTTATTATACTTCGATGATCATTGATTTTATAAATGTTTTTTTTCATGAAACTCCATTTTAACATTGATAACTCTTTAACACTTATTTATTAATTACCCTTAAGTTAATTTTTAAATTAATTAATAAATCAAAGACATGCTGAATAAATATAGTGAACAATGTACATGTTTTTTGTTTTCAGGCATCCTTATGTGGCATTCTTTCATGTATTTTTTCGTGTATCAGCTGTTGTTGCTTATTTATTATGTGGATGGTTCAGTGATAGTTTTATTACAAACTTTGTTGTCATCGTGTTGCTGTTGTCATTTGATTTTTGGACTGTAAAAAATGTCAGTGGGAGACTTCTTGTTGGTTTACGATGGTGGAACTATGTTGATGAGGATGGAAATAGTCATTGGGTTTTTGAAGCAAGAAAGGTAAAAATAYAATATTTTTCAAAACAATAAAAATAAATAAATAAATAATGGATGACATTTATATTCCAATTGAAAGATATGAAAATATCATAATAATCACTGTTTGTATCAATTCCACCCTAATGTCACAACTTTTTTTATTTTAAGAATAACTCCTGTGTTACTAATGCAGAGTCTAAAGTGTTCTGGCTTGGTTTGATTATTTGTCCTRTCTTATGGACATTTTTCCTTGTAGCTGCCCTTTTTTCATTGAAATTTAAGTGGTTGGTAAGTAAGAAAATATCAAAAATGGTGTCCAGCCAATCATACTATATACCCCACTATCTTCCTAGTAGCCTACCACCACAGCTATCAGTACTCTTCACCTATAAGAGTCTGTCTGTTGCAGTAAGGACACTCRAATGGGGACAACTTAGATAATTTGTAAAGTAATCAATCATTTAAAGATCATAATGAGCTTGAGAACAGTATGATTTATCTGTGACGACGGTTACCTGTTATTTATATACTGGTATATACCAATCTGTCCATCCAAAACACACACAGACAAAACAGATTGTCACATCTGCAACACACACACAGACATTATGAAAACAGATTGTCACATCCGTAACACACACAGAGACTGTTATTATGAAATCAGATTGTATCTTCACTGACCACTGGTAGCAGATGCAGTGGCTTTTGTTTACTGATGAATTGTGGTTTATTAATTTTTTAGCTTGTTGTTGTCGTTGGACTTGGATTGAATTTTGCTAACATGCTTGGATACATAAAGTGTAAAAARGATGCAGGAAAGAAGATTAAAAGTTTTGCTGGGAATTTTCTTGGAAGGCAGATTCTCTCTCAGGTAATATAGGTGTCACAGCTAGGTGATTAGTCTATCATCTCAATTGTACTGTAATAGTTTTGTTTTTCTTTGTTCTAACCATTTTTTTCTATCATCTTTATCTTGAATTTCCTTCTTTTCTCTGGTTCTCAAGTCTGCTAATCAACTTCATTCTCAATTCTACATTCAACCTTCTGGTAATATGATGCCGAAAGCGTAAGTCTTTGTACCAATGGCTTCAAATAGCAAATAAATTCATCAGGCTAATGTAGAAATAGATACCCTGGGAACCAGAGGCTGGATTTACTCGTTCTTATAGTTTATATACGGCGCGAAGCGCCGTCCTTGAGGCCGAA